GGTAACTAAATTCTTGTTCAATATTCCAAGGTGTCTTTAAAACCTACTCGTCATGAATAGAAAGACTCATTGTCAAGACCCACATATAAATAAGTCTAACAATCTTTTGAAAGTGGGTTTCGCTCCAGAGAAATCTGCTAATGCATGATAAAAGAACCGTGTCTCACAGAATAGTTCGAGTAGACGATCGAAATAGCTTCTAAATAACCTTCTACTTACTAACTTACACCTCTTAAAAACATTTCGTAACTGATGTTGAAGATGCAAGTGGAAGCGGAGTTGGCCGTACCGATAGCTGTTTCTATATACTTTGTACATACTACTCGTCAACCTCACTATGTGGAGGGCTTTCAAAGTTCGTAAAACACGTGAAAAGACGTTGGGTTTAGAAGAGTTTTGCGATCTATAATTGTTTAGCTCATCTCCACTTTGAGTGATAGTGGGAGAGATTGCATCCTAAGACGACATATTTCTTTTTGTCCGTCTTACTGGAATACGTATATATACGTACACATTTAGGCAGACACCCACATACAAGCAGACACAAGTACGCGCATCTAGATTGACAAATGGTTTGAACTAACTAAATCACTATGCATACGAAGAGAAACTGGGTTTCGATTAATCTCCTGAGCTAACATTGTTGGGGGGAGTTTCGTCTCATATTAAAGTCCCCCCAACAATAAATTACTATAAACATTACAAAAGATATAGGGCATGTTTACATCATGTAAAGATAATTTGGTAAACTGGAATATGGTTTTAAGAATGATACCCTTTCTGGTGATGTCCATCATACAACGGACAAAGCGAAGCACTTTGGCCTAAGCGGATGGAGATATTACCTCGGCAACAGCGTCAGTAAGAATGTTCCAGTAAGGTCAATCGACAGTTGGCCAAGAGGAATCCCCGTTGTCTTCTGGTGGGATCGACTTTAGAAGCTCCTCATCACACGCGTTTAGCCAAAATGAAAGTGCTCTTATAATATGAACAAGCTTGTCCCGAATTTCACACATAATCAGTGTTGATCTAGGCGTGGGCTGATGTAGAGACAAATCGAGAAGAGTCCGTGTGAGACGAAACACTTGGGAATGTACCAAGACCGATGCTGGAAATCACGAATGCCATGACAGAGGACACAGGAGTAGGCATGTTCCACAAGGTCTCCCTGACCTTCCGGCCAAGTTGGAAAGCGAGGTCGAACCAACGCTATAAAGCTAAAGGAGACTGCAGCCAAACAGGAGACAACACAATCTTGGTCTTTATATCTGCGATCTAATTATGGTGGTAAGATTGCCAGTCAATATAGTGATTACAGCAGATCAACGAAACCTTTCTTAACTGTTGTAAACGTTATGGCATCCCTCCTAGTTTTTGCAATTTGATGAGAAAATATCATTCCGATAAGGTCAATGTTATATTATATCAAGCTTCTTTGCAAAAAATTAGAGTGGACATATGATAGGGAGAGGGGAAAATTATTTAAGTTTGTAGATATTAAATCTAGACTCAGATTCTCATCTCGGAGGAGTTTCTGAAACTACAGATGACAGACAAAATGGCGAAAAGGACATCGGAATTAATGAAGAAAAGGAATCCGACGAAGATGAATAAATATGGGATCTGTAGGCAGCCCAAGATCCGATTATCTGGCAAAATGAATATGCCTCTAGAATGACGGATCTCACAGTAGAGACAAGAAATGAATTTGTCTTACATCTGTCTTGACCCGGAAGCCACAGAGATCCGCAAGAGGCAATAAATTTTGCATAGAAGTTGTTTGACCTTGTTTTCACCACTTGGTCATATTGGTAGGAAGACTTAGAGGAACGCACCTTGTCCGGAGACCATTGCATACATCATCATTTCCAGAGTAGGACCGTGGACGTGGTACATTCCCAGACGTTTCGCCGGCATCGTCAGTGAGTCTTGTCATTCGTAGCAACACATTACATCTCGTCAAAGAGACAAGTGAAGCCCATCCTTTTACCAAACGTGTGCTAAACAATTGTGGTATCTCTCGTTCAGGCCTGGCCTATTCACATTTCCTATATCCTCCTATCACACCTTTACTGTCCCAATTTTTACCGTGCCTATTTTGATGTAGTGTGGTGTGCTCCTTCGAGCGGCATTCATGAAAACCCTTAACAGTCCACACTGTTGTTATCACACCCTTCACCTCTGAGAATCTACATGAATAATTAAAAGGAGAGCTGGAGATGGAAATCCTCCCGACAATCTTGGCACATCAACGACCTACGCATAGGAACACTGTAACCAAGATATATACAAAATTGATAAGAAACGATCAAATAGTCCTACAAGTCGACAAAGGAGGGGACACAGTGGTGATGGTCAGCAATGAATAGAGGGAGAAAATGGAATATATTTTCCTCGAAGCTACAATTTGTCGACTGCTAACACAAGATCCAATAGTTAAAATCAAAGAGGCACTGCAAGAAAGGTTGAAGGAAATGAATATGAACGGGGAAATCAACAAATGGACAATGAATTCACTCCTATGAAAGGATGCAAGACCTCCAGTTGTGTACGGTTTGCCGAAGGTGCACAACGAAGCCGAACCACTAAGACTTACACTCCATAAGAAACACGGACGAACACATAACCTGATGAATTTTATCTGCCTCAAATTGGAGAAAGTAAATGACAGATTATTGAATAAAGTGAAAAACTCATACGAATTTTGCCAAAGAATCAAAGGCACCAGTTTGGAGGGAAACGAACTTTCGGTGAGCTTTGATGTTCAGTCCATGGGTACCAACATCTCAGGAGAAAAAGCACTCACGGCACCAGTGAAGATCTCAGAAATAGAAGATGAAATCATGGCGATTGAGTGAATCCGTAAAGAGTCTCCAACCCGATTAATCAACCTAACAATGAGAACAATCAATTTCGCGATCAACTATCGCATCTATGAGCGAATATTCGGTCTGTCTGTTGGCTCACTACTCTCACCAAATTCTTGGTTGATGTTTACATGAACAAGTTAGAAGAGAATTTCAAAGCGCCACTTCCACAAGCAACAATAATTATGCCATATTTGGATGACTACTGCTCACCCTGGTCGTCTGGAAAAGAGAAATCAGCGATTTTCTCATCTTTTCAAATGACATTAAAATTTACAAAGGGTGTGGAAGCGAAGTGATACTTTCCTTGATTGGATGTGGAGGTCATTCGCTCCGAGGAAACTCGCAAGAATAAACTTTTCCGAAAGAAATCACATCCTGGAATAGCTCTTAACTTCCTGTCGAAACATGCTTATGGAATGAATATTGGAATATCCCGAAGCATGCTCATAAGTAGCTTACGCCTCACTGATTCTGAGTTCTGGGAAGAGAAACGGGGAAAGCTAACTCAGGTGTGTATTTGGATACGGATATCCAGAAGAAGCAATACGACGCAAAATAGGGATGGTGATCAACGGATGGAAGGACGGAGACTATGAAAGGAAGGCAAGAGGAACAGGGGGGAAACGATGGATATGTCTACCGTCTTGCGAATTAGTTCGGAAGCTGTGACCGATACAATTGAAATGGAACGTTGGTGCAATCCTGAAGGAAAAGAACAAACCCTTTTCACCAGCTCGCACACACAACATGAATGAGTCAACAAAATGGAGTGCTCCGTAGTTTCCAGCATAAACTGCAAGGATTGCGGACAAAAATGCATCGGAGAGCCAGAAAGGAGAGCACAAGGATCAAAAAAACACCAGCGACTATGCATAAAAATGGATACGGAAAGATCGGAGTCAGCTGAACACATCGTCCTTACCGTTCACACAATTGGCGGGAGTGCAACAGAAAGACTGGTCTCAAATGAGGAGCACACCAGAAAACGGCAGCTCCTCCTTCAGAGAAACCTGATGAACAGGATAGTGGACGAGGGAAGAAGCGATAATTTCGTGTTCTGCCTGGGCAGACTTGGAGATTCAGCGAACGCATCACAAAGAAGAGGCTTGGGCACAAGACAACTGTTCAACAGCAGGAAGCGACTTCACCAAGAAGCGGCTCATGAGGGACAAAGGGAAGTAAAGTGAGAAGAGTGAAACTGGTAATTGGCCGAAAATGTACCAAAGGAGTTGTTCACCTGTGAGATGTAGGTTACGACATTAAAGGCTATGGGTATAGGTCGCCACAGTGTGCGTGTCTGCTTGTTTGCATTTTTCATGTCTGTGTCTCAAGGGGAGGTGACTGATGATAGGCCTGACCACGGGGGATACAAACTGAACACACATATGAGTAACATCCTAATATCATAGGCTTAGGTGGGAGTGCCAATTTGAAGGACGTGAGGAGTATGCTTTTCGCGTTTGAGGAGGGGAAAGGGGAAGCTATGCATTTTCACACCAGCGGTTGTGACTTAATCCGGACACAGGGCCCCAAAGAATGAGACACAATGTGGGTAGGGATGAGCAAGAGAATAAATGAGTCATGGGTTTGAAGCCTAAGGAGAGGAAGATTTAGAGACCTGGCATGGGCACGGACATGGGCGTCATCTGCTCTAAGTCTTCAAATATGGAGTAATCGGGGGCCGGAATTGAAGGCTTCAAGGGGGTTAGATTTTAATGTTTAGCAGCGGCCAATTGACAAGCGGGGTAGGAGAAAGGGAGACAGAATAGAGGTCAGCAGCCCTGCAAATGGCACCTGGTACCGGTTGTGAAGGTGATTACGCTTCATTAAACCCACTTGTAGCGATACCCTCTTAGGCGACATTTGTGCAAGCGAAAGCACATAAGTGTATGAATAGGTAGATGAGCCACGTGAAGTGAGGTTGAGAGAAAGAGATGCAGCACTAGAAGGTAGAACAGAAAATAGGGGTGGGGAGTGATGCCAGAACGATATTGCGACAGAGGACACGTTCCACAAGGTCTCCGACACTCCGCCCAAGTTGCCAAAACGAGGTCGAGCCAACACTATAAAGCTTGTTAGATTGATTTTCGTTGTGACGATGATACCTTGCTTTGATGATGTTCGTCATGTGACGGACGAAAACTTAGCACCTTTTACCGGAATCGAAAGAGATTGCCTCGGAAACAGTGTCAGCATGAATCTTCCAGTAAAGCCAATCGCCGTCGTCCTCAGGTGGAATCGACCTTTGAATCTTTTCACCCAACACTTTCACTCGAAATGGAAGTAAGCTCAACAATAATGAAACAAGAAATTCCTCGAAACCCAACTTTTCTTTTCATACTTCCTATCATACATAGAATTACTGTCTGCCCAAATCGGGAGATTTACATACCAGATTCCCGGTCAGTGACATGACAAAAAGTGTAACTTTTGCTTGCGTGAAGGCGCCATTTTGGCGAGGTGATAGAAGAGGATTATTCAATTGGCGCCCAAATGACCCTCGCGAGTGGCCGGGAAAGATGGCACCGGAGTTGCTTGACTTTTGGCCGCATGATTGAGTAAAGAACAATTGAGTGTGTAAATAGGCAGTTGGACATTTGCGCGAATAGACAACAAGTAACTAAGTGGGCGACAAGAAGGAATGAGTGATTGAGTGAACGAACGAATGAAAGTCTGCCGCAGGTGATTGACTGCGCGAGCAGGAGAAAGCTCGACCGGGCAAGTGGGGTAGAGCTGGAGAGAGGGGCAAGCGAGACAGTGGGGGCTGTATGAATGGATAAGTGAGTGGGAGAGTGAATGAATGGGCAATCAGCCCGGTTACTGAGTCTGTTGCCAACACGAAACGGAGGCAATGAAAGGAGACTGAGCAAATTCAGCAGAAAAACGAGTTATATAGTTTTTGCATTGGCAAACGTGTGAAGCAACTTTTACTACCGACACAACATTGTCCCACAATTTCCTCTTCCCCCACCTAGGCATGAAGTGACTCTCATACTGATTCGGCTAAAGGATCCTCAAACACAAAGTAGGCTATAGTCTTCTCGACTGTTATATCGGGGCAGAATTGGGGCCAGACATGCCAAAACGCAAGGGGAGTGTATTCGAGGCTCGTTCCAACCTATCATTAGACCTAATAATTGGTGCACCGAGGTCTGTGGCCATGCCACTTTTGCTGATCGTCAGGGGAAAAGTCGTTGTTGAGCTGCGGAGCAAGCGGTGAAGATGACCAACTTCTTGGCCAATTGTGTAGTTTGCAGGCTAATGGTAGGTTGGGAAGTCTCAACCTAACCACTGGACGGGTGTACCAGTATGTCGGGAAGATAGAGGAGCAGATACCGAGTTAGTTACCTAGTCAGCTGACTAATTAGTGGTACAGGCAACGGGTTAGTAGATTTCGCTTCTAAATTTGCGGCCATTTGGAATGCCAGTCAGTTAATTAGCAATTGCGCGAGAAAATAGGAGCATCAATTTTTCTATGCTAAGGGCTAGAAGGCAACAAAATAGTTGGGTGTCTAGCTATACCTATGGAAATATTTACAGATATGCAAACCGGAGGTTAGGTGAATATAGGACCGGTTGCCTGGCTAATGGGAGAGATAGCTAGTCGGGCTGTTTGTTGCATAGATGGTGTGATGCACAAATAGTTAGTGACCTAAATGACTGGCGAATGGTGGATTTATAGGCTTAATAAATGTTAATAAGAGCAGGGTTTCGAAGACTGACTCAGTGATTTATTGTGACGTGACTGTTGATTTCAAAGGAAAAGTTGGTT